TTGTACAACATTTTAATAATGAAACTAACTTGCACATCACTGGGGTCTGATTTGATTCTCAAGTTCCACATGTCTTTAAGCTCAGTGTCTAGCCAAAGTTAAGTGACTGGATTTCCATTATTATCTGTGAAGAGGAAGAAGCCATGGTGATTTTATCTTGAGTATGTGTGCACTTGGCTGTACTGTTTCAACACAATTACAGTGGGTGTCGTCATTATTGATTTTGTTACAGTTAGAAATATGAAGAAGCAGACGCTGTCTTCCAGACCCATTTACAGACACTTTTGCCCTGGAGGAGAGGCTGGAACCTGCACGTAGTAACCCAGAAAGTGCAGTAGTGTTTTGGAAAGTCTCTGGCATGCTCTGCTTTGGTTACCTCAATGCTGTGAGTGAGCTTTTTTAGGATGTTCTTTTGCATTTAATCTTGTAGAGCTTGTTTCAAGAGCAGGCTTACTTCCAAACAATAGGGCTCTAATGTGATTTGGCTCTTGTTGTTCAGAGCACGTTTACGGCATTATTTCTGTCACATGGGGCAGTTTCCTTTGAATTATGCCTCTTTTTTTTTTTTTTCTGGTTAAGTCTTTGCTTTCCTCAGCTCTGTTTTTGTCTTATTTCCCCACCCCACCCCCCATCTTGTTGGTGATCCAGTTTAAAGTGAACTGTGTATTTGGTGCCTTCAAGAGTGCTTTCAATTTAGAGGGGAAGAATTTCTAATTTGTGGTGGCGTTTCAGATCAAAAAGCAGCTAATACGTGGGTACTTACCAGTAGAGAAAGTTTGTTGTAATTATTGGTGGGAAAGCTAGCTGATGTTTCTGACGTGGCAACTAAGTTGAAGCTAAGATGAGCTGCATTTGAATCCACATACTCTACAGTTAGAGTTGGATGTTAGCTAGTCTTCCGAACTAGAACTGTTGTGAAGCTGCTTTTGCTTTCGTGTAGCACAAGTCCCAGGATAGCTGACTTAAAATTAGGTATGTTGTTCAGTTGATACAAGTGAAAAGCTTCAGTCTTTTCCAGGGCAAAGTTCTTCTAAGTTTAGGCTGAGTTGGCTTGTGACTTCATGTGTGCAAGGTGTGTGTCTCAGTCTCTGACTGAAAGCTGCCTGTAACTACATCCATGAGAAAGAAAGCGTTGTATCAGGGAAAGCTGCTGGCTCATTCAACTGAACAAAAGTGTGGTCAATAAGTTTGAGAACTGTCTTGTTGCAGAGTGTCCCCACCGCTGCTTTCTGTCAGTGACGGTATCTGCTAGCCTTTCTCACTACTTTTAGTTGTCTCTTTCGGCTATTTCAGGGTCTCCTGATGGCAGTAGGATTTAGGCTGCATTGTGGTTAAAGACTGTGTTCTCTTTTGCACTGTCTGCCATTTGGTGTCATAACTGTAGCAAGATTGCTTCTACATACAGAGGCTTGCGTATCCTGAATTTTTGCCCTGGCTGTCAAGATGTAGAAATAAAAGACTTTCTTCTCTTGATTAGTTTCTCTGTATGTTTGGTTTCATGTAGAGCAGCAGTTTTCAACATGTGGTCTGTGGCTTCCTAGAGTATGTGGTCTACTACAGAAGCAGATGGTAGAAGGTGACTAAAATGTAAATTCAGCAGTGGGCTTTGTGCGTTTCCTGATAGAAGTTTTGTTGCCTCTGAATACTTATTATGGTTTGAAAATAAAAACACATCAAAACCCACTGTTGTTCTGCTGGGATGTGCCTGTAAATACTATTGTCAGTATTGCACTTTGTTCTTATTTCTTGAGGAGTCCTGCTTGATGCTCAGAACTGTCAATTTACACTGAAGTCTGATTTCTCTGGTAGATTCCAGTGATGGAAGCTTGACTCCTGTTGACACAGAATAGGCAGCGGTTGTATGCTGGCATCTCTTCTGCCTTTTTGGTGCTCCGTAGTCTGTGTCCTCATAAGTGCTTCCAGCATACAAGCTTTCCTGCTGAACATCTGTTTCAGCCCAGGTTTTCACAGAATTGATTGCCTCCTTCTTAGATTGGCCTAAATCATGATGTACATATGCTAATTTTAATCTTTCCTGCAACACTTCAGCATGTGTGGCCTTGACAGCCTGTACTTTGCGTCTCTTTCCAGGATTCACTTGATATCTATTTTTTCAGTCTTGATGTTAGATTAACAGTTTACATAACTGTAGTGTGAGGCTAATTTCTTCACTGTGAGTAATTTAAGACATGCAGAGTGACATTCAATTTTCAGCGGTGTTGTAAACGGTTAAGAAGTTTGCTTCATCTTGATAAATATGTAACTTATGTTACCATTGTAGTTTATGCAGGATAGACTGGAAGTTTTCTGAAAGATGGAAAAAAAAATTGATTCCCTTGATGTGATGTTGAGGGTTCTTAGCAAAGCAGTGAAGGTTTGTGTCAGAGACCTGGACTTTTCCACACTGTGGAGTGAAGCAAGTGCAGTGAGGCTGATACAAGCAAGTGATGCTGATAACCTATAAGGAACTAATTGGTATGTGAAGAGAAATCTTGGCTTCAGGGTTTTTGGGGATGGTTCTTGCCCCTAGACATTTCAAAAGTGCATTTTGGAGTCTGGATTGCAACTTGGACTTGGCTTTAGGTCACAGAGGAAGTGCAAATCCAAGCCAGACAGCTTCTTGAGAAAGGAATCTTCCAGATGGCTTGTGGTGTGTGTATGTATAGGTCATGTTTTGACCTTAAATTTCAGGTTATGTTGCTGCTTACCATGGCAATGGCAAGATAAGGACCAAAAAGCTGGTGGGAGATGAACAATGATACGGTTGATTCAACTGCATCACCTGACAGGTGGGGAAGAGTCTCCTAAGTGCAGATCTATGTGTCTGGGAGGGAGGCAGAACGGTCAGAGGTATGCATGGAAATAGAAAGCAGGGCAGTAATACCTGCTGAAATCCAGTAGGGCTGATGTTTTTAAGTAGAAGTTTGTAGGGATGCATCTTTCTGAATTATTTTCTGTTGTGCCTTTTTTTCTCCTGCAACTTATGAAGTTTCTGTGAACAAATAAAACATGTTCCATCTCTTGTAGCTTGGCTGAATCACTCAATTTCATAACAATCACAAGTGCTCAGAATGCTTGTAGCTGCATGCAGGCCCAATGGGCCTTGCTGAGAGAAATACACCCAACAGAATGTGCTTCTTAATCCAGTATCATGGGAAGCTGGGGGTCCCTTTCTTGCCAAGACTGCACAAGGAAAACAAGGTCATTTGAATTAAGGCTTATGTTCACTCCTTGCTCCTTTGTGAATAGGGGTGTGGTTCTTGTCTGGGCCTTGTTTCTACACTAAGGCTCTCTTGATGCTCTTTGCAAAATTGTGGGTCTAAACATGTGGGTTTTTCTTTGAACGTATTTCAGAATCCAAACCAGCTGCTGCAGCTCCTTCCCTTCTGCAACACCTATTCAAGCCATACTGTCATTTTGTGGCTCTTTGTAGATAGTAACTTACAGCTGCTTTATTCACATTGCAGGGTGTGGTTGGTTTTTTTTGCTTTTTTTTTTTTAGAAAATATTGGGGTAACATGTTTCTAAGTGGTTTCTGCAAATGTCCTCTTATCTCCTTGTGTGCTCTTCACTCCTTCCTCCTAAACATGCTTTGCCTTTCCTTCAGCAAAGAGAAAGCAGAGAAGAAAGCGGGCCTCCAGCTCAGATGCTGTGGACTGCACGAACTATGATTTAAGCCAGTCCCTTCCAGTCCCTTCTAAAATGAAGGGTGGTGGTTTGAGCACATGCTCTGTGTTCAGTCTGAGTGCTCAGCACCCAAAAATCAGAGCCTGGTACATTAGGAAATCTAAACTGCTGCTTATTTACTTTGAGTATAAGTGTTGGCAGGCAGTACATTTCATCTCTTGTAGAAACAATGTTTGTAATTTGATTGCTGAGCTTAAATGGCATGTTTGGTAATGAATTTCCAAATTTTTCTGTTCCTTACTGAACACGGGCAGATACTGGAGAGACACAAAGTAAGTTTGTGCTCTTAGAAACTGCTTTCAAAGTTTTGGCTACAGTGTATGCATTGAGCAAGGCAAGGATTTAATATTGATATTGAATAGACGAAGTATGGAGGAAAAAACGGTTATTGTAAGTTTCAGTTAAGTTTGTGCATAGGTTGGTCTCTATAGTGGTTCCTGCCTGTGGCATCAGTGCCAGAAAAACAGGTGGATATTCAGCACTTAGTACTTCTCTAAATCTTGGACAAAATTTTAATAATCTCCTTTTCTTTTAAAATGATACAAATATCTCCAGAGTAAGTCATTATTGAACTTAATAGAAATTTAATTTTCCCATTCAGATCATATGTAGATGTTCCTCTTCTTTTCTTCCAAGAGAATTGGGGAATAAGACAAATCCCTTGTCCTGATGCTTGAAGAGATTGCTAGCATTCCAGAATAGATGGAAAGCGTATAGAGAGAGGGGATATTTACAGGATAAAAGTTGCAAAGGATAACTAAATACATCCAGGTGTGAGGCTCTGAGAATAGCGTTGTATCTTCTGAGACTTCAAAATGTAACTATGAGGCATAAAATCAGAGTTGTAAACAAGTTTGCTTTGCACTGACACAGCTGTGTCTGAATTCTTTCTCACTCAATTTATCTGGAGTTACTCAAATAATCTGTGTAGCTTCCTCGTTTTACCTGATGCGTGTTCATATGCTATAGTGTGTGCATTGTTAATGCTGCTTATCCTTCTTTGTAAAGGCAAGTGCTTTGTCCAGCATGTTTTCTCAATCACAAGAGCGCTGTGCCATGTTGGGTTGCTGTTACACCAGAACAAGTACTGTCTGTTACTGTACTAGAAGTGAAGTGTTTGTGTCAGTACCTTGGCCTACTCCTTGGGGAGCCACACTTTTTTCCAAGGGAAAAAATTTCCGGTGACCATTACAGTAATACTTCCTTGGGTGCTTGTCTTCTTTTGTCTTCATATAAATATGCTTTCATATCTCCTTGTAATGAACTGTAAATTCTAGTTCTGCTTTCACTGTGTGCCTTCTCCTTTGTTTCAGGTAGCCTGACCCTGCAGTATTTTGGTTTTAAGAGAAGCATCATCTAATTACATCTTTGCTGTGCTGGTGGAAAAAGGGTCTGGCCTGTCATAGGCTGTTCTCCTTGAGAAAGAATTCTCAGTTTTCTCAGTGATGCAGTGTTCCCCAGCTGACACTGATCAGGTGTTTATAGTCCCAGAAAATGGAGAAGCTGGAGTCTTCACAGCTAGGCAGTTTTGGTGTAGAAGGTTCTTAGCTGAACAAGGCAAGCTATCTTCCACAGGTATAGTAGAAACACTTTCTGGTATTTTTGTGATTTTTTTTTTTTTTTTTTTTGCGGGACTTGCTGACTGACTTGGATGAAGTCTTAGAACCAACCTCTGTAATGAATATAACTTGTGTTCTGTGGCATGGTTCTGAACTACATCTGATTTGGGATGAGGCAGAGCAGTGTTTTGCCACTGCTAATGAGCACATGAGTGGTAGAACTTAGTTCTTTGCAGATAATGAAGTGTGCTTCAAAGAAATGCTGCATTGCATGGGTGGAGTGTGTTCTCAGGAATGACTTGTGTTTTGAATTACTCTGGGAAGAGAGGTTGCTTAAAAGCAAGCCTGTCTACCTATTACAGTAAGTTACCTTTATTTTTGCCTCTCTTTGGCTGGATATAAAGGATCCATACCTAGAGGGACTGTGTTTAGTTGTTGAAGCAGCTTTTTGCCTGCTGCTCTTGTATAGAAATCCTCTCTTCCTTCTGTTAATGAGCACAGAAGAGCCCATCTTGTAACTGCAGCTGAGATTTTCTTTTATCAGCTGCAGATGTACTCCTTAAAACTTCAGTTTCCTACGTAAAGATAGGTCTGTACAGAAAGGGAGTGCATTTCTTGGAGCATCTGGAAATCTAAGAGTGCTGGATAGAGTTTCCGCATAGAAAAGGCGCATGCATCAAACTTATTCCTGAGGGAATAAACTTAAAAGAAGAAAGTGAAGAATGATGCTGATGAGTTCCTGACATAGGTGTTCGCCTCATGTCTGCTCGTCAGATTCCTTCTGTCTGCCAGATTCATGTGAAATTTAGATCTGCCAACAGCTGAGGAACCTTTGTTTAGCTATAGGATGTGCATGTTATTTCTCTTCATGCTGCTAGTTGTGAAGGCTAAGTCTCTGAAATTCCAGAGAAATCCTAATTTGAAGACACATTTGTTTTTTTCATTCTTTTTTTTTTCTGGGCTGGAGTCAAAGTACTGTAGTTGAAGTTTCAGGACTGATTGCTGTCATTAGGATGTAGTTTCAGTACAGGCCAGGACTGTTTTGCTAAGGTCTTTGAATGGACCTGTACATGTGTTATGAAAGTGAAGCTGTGGGCCTTTATCCGTCTGGTATTCCATGCATTAATGTTGCAGTAACTTCATTGGAGACCAACTGAACCTGACTTGCACTCTACAAAGTGCAAAACAATAAGAAACATCATTGTTCTGGAGAGATGTACCGTGAAGAGATGTAAAATGGGTAGAAGAATACTCGGAGATTGTGAAGGACAACTTCCCTAGCTTTTTCTCCTGCCTGGGAGCCAGGCTTGTCTAAGGGAACACGGGGACACCCCACGTGGAGCAGTTAGTTCTGTTGTCACTGGTGATGATGGCAATATTTGCTATTCCAAGTTGGGATGAGATGGCTTTATTTAACCATCTGTTTGTGATAGATTCTCACCATTTTTTTCTTTTATCCACAGATTATTTTATGTCCATATGCCACATTTTGCTGCTCTAACAACTTCTCAGAGGATTGCTATTTTTAGACCTGGAGTCTTCAGCTAGCAAGCAGCATGTTAGCTCAGACTGCTGCCTGGTTCTTCTTGCATTTCTTTCATTTAGAGTCTATCATACGTTTTGAGGTAGAAGATCTGGGATGAAGCAGAAACAGGTATATAAACCAAGGGAGAGTTTGAGAACATCTGTATTCTTCCCCCTCTTATTCATGTTTCAGTGTAAATGGGTGGTTTTCTGAACACCTCTTGTACTACATTTATTGGCTGTTTCATAAAGACAGCTCTTGTACTTCTAGATCCAGGCACTGGGCAGAACTTGCCTGCTATTATTTCAGAGCCCAAAACCAGTAAGAGTTCCAGTGCTGTGCATAGGCATTTGTCAGCAGGAACCTGATTCCCCATCTGTAGATGGAGTCAAGGGAGACAACCCAGCAGCCAATGTAGGTGCTGATTTGCTAATGGGAGTAGTTCTTTCACCATGCATATCTTTTCTTACAGTAAGGAAGGGAGAGTTCTCCCTGTGAATTATATCTTGCCCCACTAGGGTTTCTAAGGTAATAATTGCCTTTGAACTTCCAGTTTACTTTTGAGGGGGTATGCTTTTCTGTATCCTTTTGGATGCAACCTAGTAGAAACCAGTTGAGGAAGTACTGAGCAAGAGGAGTAGCTGTTAGAAAAGGTGGTCTTCTGAAAGCTTTAACACAAAGGGTTTATACAGTAGAAGTGTGCGGTTGCTCTTACAAGGGAGGAGACAGAAGGCTACCAACTTTGAAGCAATGGGTGGTAATGAAGATTTGAATATTAATTAAAACAGTTAAAAATCCAGAGGAGAAATTAAGGAATACAACACTTTTTTTAATAGTGTAATACAACATTATCCTTGGGGAATGGATCATCAAAATGACAAAAGCTTAATAAGTTCCTCTGTAACAGGGAAATTTTTTCTGCCTTTCAAAGCACTTGGTGTCATCTGAGAGAGGCAATACAGACTGTTACACCAACGGCTAACCTGCTCTGCCAAGTGGCTGCACTTAAATTTTTTTTCGAAAACACAGGGAATTCCCTCAGCACCTTCAATTTCAATGATGAATTGATTGTTTTGCTTTCAATGCAAGTTCAGGCTGAACTGGTTTTCAAGGAGAGCTAAACAACTACAGTCTCCTGTGCCTGCTCCTGTTGTGTGTTTAAGAATCGTGTGAGTTGTGTTAAAATCAGGTATGAGTAGCTTATTTTAGAATCATAGAATCCTTAGAGTTGGAAGGGACCTCTGAAGGCCATCTAGTCCAACTCCCCTGCAGTGAGTGGGCATACCTCACCTAGATCATGTTGTCTGGGACCTTATTCAGCCTCACCTTGAAAGTCTCCAGGGACGGGGCATCAGCCACATCACTAAGCAACCTGTTGCAGTGCCTCACCACTTTCACTGTAAAAGACTTTTTCCTTGTATCTGATCTAAACATACTCTCTTTGAGCTTGAAACCATTTCCCCTTATTCTGTCACCACAGACCCTGCTAAAGAGTCTGTCCCCTTCTTTTCTGTAGCTGCCCTTTAGGTATCAAAAGGCTGCTAACCTTGAAGCCTTCTCTTCTCCAGGCTGAAGAGCCACAGCTCTCAGCCTGTCCTCATAGGAGGGGTGTTCCATCCCTTGGATCACTTTTGTGGCTCTTCTCTAGACACATTGCAACATGCCCATGTCCCTCCTGTACTGAGGATGCCACATGTGGATGCAGAACTCCAGGTGAGATCTCACCAGCACAGAGTAGAAGGGCAGGATCACCTCCCTTGACCTGCTGGCCACACTTATGGTACAGCCCTGTATACTGTTGGCTTTCTGGGCTGTGAGGGCAGCCTGGAAAAATGATCCATGTACACGTGCTGACACTGTTTACTCAAATTTCATTATTTTCTATAGGGTCTTTCAACTAGTGTTTTCTAGCTGACATCCCTCAACAGTTGCTGGCTGCTATTAACCTAGTTTACTTACTCCTTAAGCCAAGAAATTGTTAGATTCCCATAATTTATTCTTAAGCTCCAGTATTGGAGAACTGCCTATTAAATTGACTGCAGTTTTGCCCTGAATAGGAGAGCCATTATTAATTTAGGGACCATTGAAATGCTTGTAGTGAGACAATGTTGTTGCTGTTTCACTTCACAACAGCTCTTCTTATTAACCCTTGTTGAACCAAGTCTGTGCTAATAAAAAAGAGCTTAAAAGTTGATGGGGATATAACAGTAAAAAATACAGTAGTTTCAAGTCCTTCAGGTCTTTCATTAGTGTGAAAGTAATACTATTTCTAATGTGTGAGGCTTTAGGAACTTTATTCATATCTACTCCTCAGTTGAGTGTTAGTGTTTTTAACAATTAAATTAATAGGAATAATCAGTTATTAGAATAAGGACTTGAAGCCTGTAGACCTGTGATCCAGAACATGTTATGCAATTAGAGAAAACACTTAGCAGGAGTGAATGGAACAGAACGTACTCTTAAGAGACTTCAGAACACAGCCACATATCATTTTTCATGGGTTAGAAAACTGGTAGACAAGAGGATACTGGCTTGGGGGGTGGGGATATCTTTCTCTGACTTAAACAGCCTTCTTGAAATTGGCATGATTTTAGATTCTACAGAAAACTGTTTTAAAAGGAGGAGAACAGAGAAATCTGTAACGACATAGCAGCAATTCCTCCTTTTATTTCATTAGCTCACATAGCTATGCCAGCACATGCTCAAGCCAATCTTCTTTTTTTTTAAAAGGTATCATTTGCAGGCAGGTTTCCATATGAACAGAAACAAAGACTCAATAGCAAGAAACTTCATCTCCTAAGGAAATCTTTCTTAAAATATTCTGGTAGGTTATGAGAGTTGTGCTTTCTTTCTAGTTTTCTGAAAAGCTTTGTAAATGTATATTATTTCAGGAAACTGTTCACTTCAAAGATCTTATTCTGTAAGAGGACAAAAAAAGTTGAGTTTGCGTCAGGTTTGAGGTGTGAGTTGTTAAATTAAACTTAGGCAGATAACTCTGCGAAAAAGTGAGGAAAAAAAGTGTTATCCTGTAAGTTCATATTGCATGTGTTATTTCATAAGTTTGCATGAAATGTGCTTTGCTTCTAATTGAAGTGTGAAGCTGTTGTCTAAGAGTTATGCTCTGTGGAACCACTCAGGAAATGCTGACCTGACTGTGGGGTGCACTTCACCCGTGTAACAAAAGAAAAAGAAAAAAAAAAAAGGCTTTTACTGGCAGGGGAAACTGGCTTTACTTGTGTCATCAATCAGCTCTAGGTTAAGGATCCAGGATGCCTCTCGAATGAACTCATAAAACTTAACACTTCTCTAGCTGGAGAGCTGGTTTTCAAGAGCTATTGACGGGTCTGGAATAATTGCAATTACATTCTCTATAATAAAATACATTTTCAGTACCAGACAGCAGAAGAATTCAATGAGGGAACTGCAGTCTCTTGATGACTGGTAAAAACCTAAATCATCATTGTGGCTGTTAATAAGTAGATCAGTCTACT